TTAGGGTTTTGGGTTTAGAGTTTAGGGTTTAGGGCCCCCAAAGTCCTTATATAGGACTACTTTAAGGGCCAAGTATACCCTGTTCAGGTACATGGACCCTTAGGGGTACCACTTAATTTCGAAACGCTTGTTACTCCTTCAGTGTTGTTAGACAGCTTCCCCAAACCCAGCACCTCAGAACCGTAAACCCAAAACTCCAAAACCCGGAAGCCAAAAAAAACCGAACGCCAAACCCCAAAGTCCCAAACGCTAAACCCTAACCCCAAACCCTAAACCCTCAAACCTCAGCCCCGATATAAACTTGTAATTCTGAATTCTAAGCCCTACACCCCACTTGCAGGTTCAGGGGTACTTTTCGCCATTTGTAAGTGTAGCTATAAAGCACTTGTGCGCCCCTCAATTCCCCTAACAGGGTTATCATTGGTTTACGAGTACAGATACTATTGAGTTGCCACGTACCATGAACCTCCAAGTACCCCAAAACCCTGAACCCTAAACCCTAGCCCTAAACCCTAAACCCTAAACCCGAAACCCCTAGCCCTAAACCCTAAACCCGAAACCCCTAGCCCTAAACCCTAAACCCTAAACCCCAAACCCTAAACCCTCAAGACCCTTCCTGGTCCCTGCATCCCAGGAGCCCGGCCCCTCGACCCGGCTGATGGTCTTCGTCGATGGTCTCCAAGGGCCCCCTGGTAGGGTTTAGGGGATAGGGTTTAGGGTTTAGGGTTTCGGATTTAGGGTTTAGGGTTTCGGGTTTAGGTCTTAACCCTAAACCCTAGTGGCTGAGGAGTGTTTGGCATCATGGGGCTCTTCTTGGGACCCCCCTAAGGTTTGGGGCCTTGTTACAGATCCACTATTCGGAGTACATCCAGAAGGGTCCGAGCCTTAAGCCCTTGAGTTTAGGGTTTAGGGTTGAGGGTTTAGGGTTTAGTTTAGCAGTGTTTTGTGTGATAGGTTGAGGGTTTGCAGCATCTAGGGTTTAGGCTCCAGGCTTTACAGGGTTTACGGCCCCTGGACCCTGTGAGCCTCTAGGATTGACAGAAACCCAGGCCCACTCCCCCCCAAACCATAACCACCCCCGCCCCCCCCCCCCCGCCCGAACCCTAAGCCGAAACCCAAGCCCCAAGCCCGAGACCTCCCAACTCACACTATGTACCCGACCCAGGAGTAGCCCAGGAAGAAACATGTTTTTGGGTTAAAGGTTTAGGGTTTAGGTTTAGGGTTTGGGGTGTTGAGGGTTTGGGGTGTTTAGGGTTTAGGGTTTAGGGTTTAGGGCTCTTGACCCCAAGCCTTGAGAGTGCGCGCGCAATCCTTGAGGCTTGAGCCAGAGGCCATCATGGCCTGGCTTCACCAGGCAGGGAGAGGGCACCCCGTTGGTGTTAGGTTTAAGGTTTATTAGGGTTTAGGGTTTAGGGTTTAGGGTTTAGGGGCTTATGCCTCTCACGAGCATGTTTCCTTGAGCCCAAGACTTCAACATGTGAGCTCCTTTGTCCAGCAGCTTGGGACTTCAGGCGGGCACTTGGAGGTTCATGGTACGTAGTAACCCAATAGTAATAATGATAATCATAATAACAATACTAATAGTAATAAGAATAATAACTAAGTGTACTTCTATGCAATCTCTAACCCTATTAGGAAACTTCAACTCCACGTATATAACACAGGAACCCCGGTACTAGGCCCTAGGCTTCCATCAGTCCACTAGCTGACAAACCCCAAGCCCGAACTCGACCCCAAACCCTACGTCCCCAAACCCCAAAACCCCAAGAAAGGGACGGCCAGCTGGAAGATGACCAGCCTAAAACCAAAACCCCGAGACCATAAATTCCACAAGTGCCCATACTAAGGGGCCATGTGACTACCCTTTAAACCCTAAACCCTAAACCCTAAACCCTACGGTTCACAAAAGTTCCACAAGGCGAGGCAAGGCAATGACGTCGAGAACCCAGACAGTACCAAGCACGACGAGGGCGCGGTTGCCGTTGCAGAGGACTCGGACTACTAGGGTTTAGGGTTTAGGGTTTAGGTTTTAGGGTTTAGGGTTCAGGGTTTAGGGTTTAGGGTTTAGGGTTTAGGGTTTAGGACTTCGGGGTCGAGGGTTTGGTATCAGGATGAAGGCCACCTGACATCAAACCCTGAGGTTTAGGGGTTTGCGGGCAGAGAATACACGCATGAAAATTGCACGATTGATGTCGGATAAACAGGAAGGCTTCTGAAACCTTCCTCAAACCCCAATCACCTTCAACCCGTTGAGCAACCTCCACACTAGGACCTTCACCCTGTTGCTCTCCCTAAACCCTAAACCCTAAACCCTAAACCCTAAACCCTAAACCCTAAACCCTAAACCCTAAACCCTAAACCCTAACCCTAAACCCTAAACCCTAAACCCTAAACCCTAAACCCCGGGGTCTTTGAACCCAAAGACTCAGGTTTTCGGCGAACAACACTAGATCCTCAACCCTTGTAAACCCTGAAGCTCCACCCAAATCCCTATTCCTGTTAAAGGCGCCTGAGCCTTAGCAACCAAAAACTTCACTAAGGCGGTCAAACACCTGAACACAAGCCTCAATTCCATTTCACTCAAAATCCCGAAGCCCCAAACCCTATACCCCTAAACCCTCAACCCGAAACCCCAAACCCGAAACTTAAACATACTGTAAGCCCTGGGCCGGAGTGGACGAGTCCAGGGTGCAGAGCCCAGCCTGGTCTGAAGCGTAAGGAATATTTCTCAGGGTTTGGGGTCCCTTAACTTCAACCCCAAACCACTGCTGAACCCTAAGCCCATTTTGTGAGAGGACATGGAGATCTTGGCCGCCCTCGTTTCCATCCTCCCACCTGGAAAGGCTCCTGTTTTGGGTTTCAGGATTTTGGTTTAAGGGTTTAGGATTAGGGTTTAGGATATGGGGTTTAGGGTTTAGGGTGAAGGCCGGCTCACTTGAAGGTGCATGGGATGGTATTTGAGGGACTTGAGGTTTGAGGGGTTTCGGCGCTTAGGTGATCCAAAGGTCGAGGGTTCGGAGGTGCAAGGTTCATGTCCGGCTTTGGGTCTGCAGGTTTAGGGTTTAGCGTTTAGGGTATTTAGGGTTTAGGGTATTTAGGGTACTTAGGGTACTTAGGGTACTTAGGGTTTAGGGTTTATTGGACATTAGGATGGCAGGCTTCAACAAATGGCTTGCTTTGAAAAAGGTCCGCTGGCGCGATGGCACATCCTGAGTTTAATCCCTGGATCCTAAACCCTCAACCCTGAACCCACCCGTCAGTCGCACAAGCCTTAGAGTTGGGGCTACGCTTCTTGGGGCCCCCCTGTACATGAAATACGTACCTACTTCAAGGTCGAACGTCTGAAGATACCTAGCTCTGGCTCTTTGTAGCCCGAAACCCTAAACCCGAAACCCTAAACCTTAAACCCTAAACAAGCCTAAGCCCCTCTCAACCTCAGAAACCCTGTATACACCCGAAACCTTAAGCCCCTAAACCCTAAACCCTAAACCCTAAACCCTAAACCCTAAACCCTAAACCCTAAACCCTAAACCCTAAACCCTAAACCCTAAACCCTAAACCCTAAACCCTAAACCCTAAACCCTAACCCAAGCCCTCGTCAACCTGAGGTGGAGGTGGACCACGGCTGCGTGTGCATTCGCGGCATTAAGGAGGCTGCTGTGCCCTATCCGTTCGAAATCTACGCGACTTGGGCTTTCCAGTCTTGCTCCTTCCGGTTCAGACAACATGGGGTTTGGGGTTTAGGGTTTAGGGTTTAGGGTTTAGGGCTAGCCCCAAACCTTAAACCCAAACTTCCATAAGCCCCGATGTCCATGAGGTGAAGGGCAAGGAGTGCCCGCGCTCCAAGCGGGCGAGCCAAGCTCTGTGCATGTCCATCCTCCAGGCCGGCTGTTTGAGGTTTGGGGTTTGGGGTGTGGGGTTTAGGGTTTAGGGTTCAGGGTTTAGGGTTCAGGGTTTAGGGTTTAGGGTTTAGGGTTTAGGGTTACAGGTTTAGTGCAGAGGGTCGTGAGGTTGCTCCTCTAGGACCAAGAGTAGGCCCTTATTCCCTTTCTGTTTGAGGGTGTTGGTTTTCTTATCATCCCCCTTTCAGCCAAAAAGGGGCGCCCTTTTGATTCCTCGGTTACACTTGGTAAACCCGAAACCCCAAGCCCTCCCTAAACACTAAGCCCTAAGCCCGAATAGTCTTGTTTCGCAGGTCCTGGGGGCATTCAGGGAACCCTAAACCCTAAACCCTGAACCCTAAACCCTTAATCCTACCCCTAGACCCTAAACCGTAGGGTGTGGAGTGAAGCATTGGTACATCGTGAGGGCTTCAGGGTATCGTGCTGCATGTTCAGTGGCTCTTATCAGGTTCGAGTTCCAAGTCGCCTTAGATTACTACAGGGCCGCTGTATTTTCAAACAGTATTCTACTATTTGCTTAAGAACCCCAAAGAATTAAACCCAATAATCCCTATATACCCTTATAAGGCAAAGTGTTTTTGGGGTGCTTCTTAAGCAACTTGCAGTATTCCCTTATGGTCCCTATTATCAATATACTAGAAACCCCCCCCCCAGTAAAAGAAACAGGAAAAAGACTGTTCTAGTTAACTAGGATGCCCAGTAGTACCCTTATTCCCTTTTTGGGGGGGTTAGGTTCCCTTATAAACCCCTTCAAGCAAAAAAAGGGCACCCTTCTTAAGCCTTGGTTACTGGGCAGCCTAGTTAATAAGGCCCCCAACATCACAGACGTTGGCATGCTCCATAGGGAAGAGGCATCAGTTCACGGGGCTTTAGGGTTTAGGGTTTAGGGTTTAAGGTTAGGGTTTAGGGTTTCGGGTTTAGGGATGGTGCTTTCCTCCAGGCAGACTTCGATGCAAACCGCCCGAACCCGCGCGCCCTGCTTCTTCTGGCTGCTGGGGCTGCGTTTGGATGAGGGCGCTGGCTAAAACCTATAGACCCTAAACCCTAATCCCTAAACCCTAAACCCTAAACCTGGCCAAGTTGAACCTAAGTGCCCCTCTTTTAGGGCCCAAGCTAGGGTTTAAAGTAGGGTTTTGGGGTTTAGGGTTTTGGGTTTTGGAGGTTAAGATCTCTCAGCAAGGGTACCTGGGCTACCTGGTACCTGGGCTACCTGGTACCTTCTTGGGGGTCTTTCGGGAGATCTTCACAGCAACAACTCTTGCCAACAAGTCAATAAATCTGTCTCGGACAAGATAATTTACTGACTTGTTGGCAAGAGTTGTTGCTGGAAGGGCTTTCGGGAAGAATGTCGGAGGATTTACTTTTTGAGCTTCAAGCCTAAGCTCTCCTCTTGCTCGGGTGTGGCCAAGCGCCAACGTGCAGAAAAATGCCGCGTTTTTTTCAAATTTCAAGTTCGCTTCCGTAGTTTCAAGTTAGTTTCAACATAGTTTCAAAATCCAGTTGCAAAATTGCTGCTAAGGGGAACTGCACTTTTCTACGCGCAGTTCAACAAAATGAAAGAATCTCAGAGATTCCTGGTTTTCAGAAAGCGCGGACAGAAAATTGCAGTTCCCCTGTAACAGCGATTTTGCAACTGGATTTAGAAAGTAATCTGAAACTAGTTGGAAACTAATTTTCAAACTATGGAAACAGTTAGAAACTTGAAAAATTCCATATTCCCGGACTTTCTGCCCCCATCCTGGCCCCTCACATACGGCCCTCTGGTTTTCAAAAAGCGCGGACAGAAATTACAGTTCCCCTTTAACAGCGATTTTGCAACTTGATTTTGAGATTGAAAAGAATTTGAAACTGATTTGAAACTAATTTGAAATTTTGGAAACAATGTTCACATACGGCCCTCAGTTGACTTTGGTCAGCCGTGACTAGAGACCAGAGTTGTCGAAAACTTGCCAGTCTCCAGACTGTTGATGGACGAAATGCTGCATTAAATTTATTTTGCAAGTCATCCCTTCCAAACTCTGAATCTGAACATTGCTGTCCTTGCAACGCGTCGAAAGCATGTGTGTGAATGACCGAAATCCTGCATCACCCATATGCGCACGCAACATTGAAATTCGAGGGGCGCGGGGGAGCTCGATTATCAACCGTCGCACACGTGTAACGTAGGGGGTTATGCAAGATTTTGTCCATCCACAGTGGGAGCCTCCTAGGATGAAAACGCTGGCAGAGTCCGCTAAGCGCCTGAAAGTCCGGAAGCCCCAGTGATATAGGGTTTAGGGTTGAGGGTAGGAATCACTACTGATACCATTCCCTTATGGTTCCTATCTGTTTATGCCATAATCCCCAAAACCCTGGACTACTTATTACGGCCCCTATAATTACTATAGTATGCCCCGTGGATGAGCCATCCATGGGGCATAAGCAAGCCGTAGGGGGTTTAGGGTGTTTGGGGTGCTTCTTTTAAGAATGCCGTACTATATACAGGACTTAGAAAGGACCCCAATTTAGAGAGCTATGCATGTCCTTCGTTTCAGGGATATAGGGACCTGAAGCCCTCCATGCTAAAGCCCTAAAACCTGAAAGTCTGAACACCCTTTGAAGCCCTAAGACAAGGCCCCAAACCTTTCGCCCCTAGAACGCTCAGCCCTCAAACCCTTGTGCCGCTTCTCGAACCCTAAGCACGAAAACCGTTCAAAACCCCCAACCCTAAGTCCTAAGCCCTAAGAACCCCAGAAGAACCCTCAGGCCCTGAGATCCTAAGCCCTATAAACCCTAAACCCTAAACCCTAAACCATCCCAAGAGCTTAGGATGGCGACTGTCGTGTGGAGCCCGCTCATGTGGGAAGGATGTACGAGCTCCGGGGTTGCAAGACTCATCGGGGTTTCGGGTTTCGGGTTTAGGGTTTAGGGTTTAGGGTTTTGGGAGTTTAGGGTGTAGGGTTTAGGGTTCAGAGTTTTGGGGTTTAGGGTTTAGGGTTTGGGGGTGTTTCGGGTTGAGGGTTTAGGGTTTGCGGTTGGGGTATTTTTGGGTTTAGGGGATTGAGGGTTCAACGGGCTCTTAGGGTTTTTGTGAGTGGATTGGGGTGGTAAGTGTGTCTTGGGGGACAGGCGGGTGGTGCGTTCAGGGCGTGTCTGCCGCAGCGAGAATAGGCCCTTGAACCCCAACCAACAAACCGACCCTGGATCCTCAAACCCTGACCACACCGACCCTAAACCCTACCCAGAGATACCGATGCAGCCTGAAACAGGGGGGAATACAGCAGCGACAAAGCTGGATTTTGCCTTGGCGTACAGGGACAGTCCCTAGGACCTAAGCCCATAAACCTGTTTTCAAATGCCCTAAGCCAAAAACCCTGCCTGACAGCCTTCCTTACCCCCTAACCCTCATTAACCCCTAAACCCTACACCCTCACTAACCCCTAAACCCTAGACACTAAACCCCAAACTCCAAACCCTCAACCCCAAACTCCAAACCCTAAACCCTGAACCCCTAAACCCTAAACAAGCCTGCTCCCGATGTCCGATAGGGCTTAGACAAGCGTACCCTCGGTCGTCGACCGGATGTCGTTTCGGTTTTGGGTTTCAGAAAGGAATAGGGTTGGGGGTTTAGGGTTCAGGGTCTGGGTTGATGGGTTAGGGTTCACGGATTATGAGTTTCGGGTTGAGGGTTAGCGTTTTAGGGTTTCAGGGATGAGGGTCTAGGGCTTCAGGGTGTAGGGCTTTAGGGGTTTAGGGTTTTGGGTCTTGGGGGTTTAGGGTTTAGGGTCTTCGCGGTTAGGGTTTCAGGGATTAGCGACTAAGGTCCCAGGGGTGCATAAAGTTATTACCAGTGTCCCCAATAGGACAGGGGGCCCATGCCCAAAAAACCATTACCCCTAAACCCCAGTAAACCTTCTCCCTTAGATAGTGACAACCCAACCTCAAATAAGTTCTGTCTATAGGCAAGTAACCCTAAACCCTAAACCCCTAGAACCAAATCCCAGGTGCATGCAGGAGCAGGGCCTCGCAGCATGTGGGCCCTTCCTTCTCACCAGGAAGCGCCTCAGATGTTTTGCGGGTTTAGGGTTTAGGGTTTTTAGGGTTTAGGGTGTAGGGTTTAGGGTTTAGGGTTTAGGGTTTAGGGTTTGGGGTTTAGGGTTTAGGGTTTAGGGTTTAGGGTTTAGGGTTTAGGGCTCTGTTTGTGTGGAGTGATGTTGCTGGTGATCCCAAAAACGGATATCCCCAATTCCGGATCTGATTTCTGTAGACCCTAAACCCTGAACTGCACAACATGCATTTAAACAGCTGCCCTGTTTTTTGTTTTTGTTGAAATCTCTGGCTCCAACCCAAACTCAAAGCTGAAAGCCCAGATCGGTCTAGGGTTCAGGTTTAGGGAAGTTAAGGGTTTTCATAGTTTGGGGGTTTATAGGGCTTATTTCCCTACACCCTCAAACCCGAGACCCCAAACCATAACCTATGGTTTGGGAGCCCTCTATCCCTGCACCCCTAAAGCCTCAACCACAAGCTCAGGTCCCACAACCTCTGCCTCCTGGTGCAGCTGATGAGGGATTGGTTCTCGCAGCGTTTGCTGTGGCTTCTTGGCTTTCTTCAGAAGTAGTAGCCCTAAACCCTAAACCCTAAAACCTAAACCCTAAACCCTAAACCCTAAAGAAGTCAGCCAAGGCTTGGTCAGAGTGCCATCCGATTCCAGCTTCCCCTCAACGGCTCCTGCGCCATGTATGCCATTGAGACTTGGAGCCGTCTTTAGGGTTTAGGGTTTAGGGTTTAGGGTTTAGGGTTTTGGGGTTTTGGGGTTTTGGGTTTTGGGGCTCAGGGTTCACTTGAAGAGCGCACGTGGGTAGTTATTGCAGGGGGGGGTACATATAGGGAAGCTACACCTGCAAGTTGCTATAGCATTATTCCGGAGGGGGGGTGGACTCATAACCCCACTTCGAACTACCCTTGAGCCTCCAAGCAGGGTTCGGGGCCTGCTTAAACCGCCCCACCTAATCATTGTGTAGCTATGTTCCTTGGGGGTATCTTTTCTTGCATGGCTAGAACTGTATAGCTGTATATTGGGTTCGGCCGGTCCACACTAACAGTCACCACCAGCAGACCCACAAATAAAAGCACCCGGTAAATGCCAAAAAAATGACTGAGATTCCTGCTATTCCTGGTGCTATTCCTGGTGCTATTTCTGGTGCATTTTTTGTGCTATTCCTGGTGTTATTTCTGGTGCTATGTTTTGTGCTATTGTTTGTGCTATTTCTGGTGCTATTTTTTGTGCTATTGTTTGTGCTATTTCTGGTGCTATTTCTGGTGCTGTTGCTGGTGCTATGTGACTAACAATCACCATCAGCAGACCCACAAAAAAACAGCACCCGGTAAATGCTAAGCTGATAAAATTGACTGGGATTCCTGGTGCTATTTCTGGTGCTATTGTTTGTGCTATTTCTGGTGCTATTTTTTGTGCTATTCCTGGCGCTATTTCTGGTGCTATTTTTTGTGCTATTGTTTGTGCTATTTCTGGTGCTATGTCTGGTGCTATTTCTGCTGCTATGTGACTAACAGTCACCACCAGCAGACCCACAAAAATAAGCACCCGGTAAATGCTAAAATTGACTGGGATTCCTGGTGCTATTTTTGGCCTGTGTGTTATAAGGCCACGGCGTTATTTGACTGTTAGTGTGGACCGGCCGAACCCAAGCTGTATAGCCTATCGGGAGGTAGGTCTCTTTTTTCAGGCAAGGACTTCGGATTTAGGGAGTCATCGCGCCTTTTCTGGGCCCCTGTTGTAAAGAATGTGGGCCCCAGTTTTGGAGAACGGCCAATGTGGCCATGCGTCCTCTGCGCTTCTTCAGAAATGCAGAAACCTAATTAAGCCTCAAAAACCCTAAACCCTAAACCCTAAACATCCTAAACCCTAGACTCTTCAGGAGACCGTGCGGGCTGTGCAGACCGACTTCTGTCGCGGAGTACGCGAGGATTCCATGCTCGACTCAATGATGATTGAGACTCACTGGCACTGTGGGTTCAGGCGGTTTAGTGCTCAGGGTGTTTAAACTTAGGGTTTGGGTTTTCAGGGTCTAGGGTAGACATTTCGAATCATTTCGACGCAGCTTAAGGTAGACATTCAAGATATTGCGAAGTAGAGCAAAAACCCACGGAAACGAGCTGGTTGACTCTTCTTTGTTTTTGCCGAGGGCATTGGGAGACAACCTAAGGAGATGGGAGAGGACAGCTTCATGACCAACCTCGTCCACGAGAAGTACCAGAGCCTCGGCTCTTTCAATTGCCTTGCGGACCAAGAGAACCCGGATAATTGGGATCACATACCCCACACGATTCTTATCCCTAGGAAACAAGTAAGGTATATGGACCTTAACCCCAAAGGTTCATCTCTGTAGTCCCCAAAGTACGGTGTCATTGTCGTCCTTTCTGGGGGGGGGGGGAGTTTCAGGATTTTCATCGTGATATTATGAGAGGGGAGGTTAGGGTTTTGGGTTCTGGGTTCACGGTTCAAGGGTTTTTTTTGTTGATCCGAGTCAGAATCTTTGTGAAGAGCAGGCTCATCGTGTTTGCTTCACGAACCAGGCCGATTGAAATCGGCCCCCGGATCGAAGATGGAAGCTGGAAGACCCCAGTTCAACTGCACGTAGAGGGTTTAGGGTTTAGGGTTCAGGGTTTAGGGTTTGGGAACCTCAAAGTAGGCTTTTTAGACCCTGAAGGACTTGGTAGCTGAATGGTCCACCAACCTCCCCCTCCCCGCCCCCCACCTTCCTTTGGGGAACCTATGCAAGCAACCACCCGCAAACTAGGATGCCCAGCCTTACCGTTATTCCCTTTTTCAGGGGTTTAGGTTCCCTTATACACCCCTTGAATCAACAAAGGGCACCTCTTTTAATCTTAGGCTACTGGGCAACCTAGAAAAGGGCCCCGTTACCACACCATGGGTGCTGGGCTACCAAGAGGACCCGGCAAGAAAAGCCCAGACCCCAAACCCTCTGAACCCAAACCCTTCAAGAACCTTCCCCGCAATCCTGAACCGGTTTAATGCCTAGAATGCTGCGGAACTAGGGTTTTGGGTTTAAGGCTTAGGGCCCACTTGGAGAACCCAATGATAACTGTACTTATAACTCAATCATAACCCTATTAGGATACTCCAGGGGCTTATAAGTGGTTATAAGTATGGTTTACTTAGTACACTGAACCTCCAAGTGGGGTTTAGGGTTAGGGTTTAGGGTGTAGGGTTTAGGGTTTAGGGTTTAGGGTTTAGGGTTTATGGTTTAGAGTTTAGGGTTTAGAGTTTCGGGTTTAGAGGGATAAACCTCTCGTCCGAAGCGGAGGACCGGTGGTGGCATCCGGCTTCGTCATCTGCAGACTGGGAGGGCGGGTTTAGGGTTTAGGGTGTAAGGCTTACGGTTTAGGGTTTGGGGTTTAAGGCAGGCCGGGCCAAACGAACCCTATTATTGACATCATATATCCCATCCGATTATCCCTGAAAGTGATTTGCACTATAAACCCATTTTAGGATATATCTATCTCAAGATTGGCATGTTGGGGTTCAGGGCTTAGTGCTCTTGATTTGCTTTGCGGTTTCAGGGTTTTGGGGGAGTAAAGGGTCCCTAAACCCTAATCCCCAAACCCTAAACCCCAAACCCTAAACCCTAAACCCTAAACCCTAGCCCTAAACCCTAAACCCTAAACCCTAAACCCTCAACCCTAAACCCTACACCCTAAACCCTAAAGCCTAAAGCCTAAACCCTAAACCCCAAGAGTGGAAGCAGGGGAGGGGCTCTGGGGCCGTGTCGAGTCTCTCTGAGAGAATAGAAGCCTGAAGTTTGGAATCCCCGACTTTCCTGAGAGGCCCTAAGAACCCAAAGTTTCGGGTTTAGGGCTAGCCCTAAACCCTAAACCCTAAACCCTAAACCCTAGACCCTAGACCCTAGACCCTAGACCCCAAACCCTGAACCTCCGATGTCCCTCATGGAGGCTGCAACCCTCTCATCACTGTACCCAGAAAACGTAGGAAACATGGTTTAGCGTGGACCTACTTGCATGCTCGGGCCCTGGTGCACAAGGCCTTGAAGCCCTAAACCCTAAACCCTAAACCCTAAACCCTAAACCCTAAAAGGCCCTTAACCTCCCAAGGTTCCTACCTCACTGTTGGGCCACGTCTTTCATGCCGGAGAACTGGAGTGAGTACCTGGCACAGCAGTGCCGCTGGAAGCGCTCGCACATGGGACGCTCGTGCGGGGTTTCGGGTGTAAAACCCTAAACCCCAAACCCTAAAACCCTAACCCTAAACCCTAAACCCTAAACCCTAAACCCTATAGGGTTTAGGAGGGTTTAGGGTGAACCCCAAAACCTGGACTCTAAAACACCAAGCCCTAAACCTAGCAAGTTTGCAGGCTGATCAAGCGTTTCGAGGGTGAAAGGGTCCCCCCTGGAAGCATTCCTTACACTCTAAACCCTAAACCCTAAACCCTAAACCCTAAACCCTAAACCCTAAATACACCCTAAACCCTAACCCCTAAACCCTAAATCCTGGGCACCCGGAACCGCTCCAAGTAAGCCTCAAAGGAAACCGCCTGAACATGCTCTTCAACAAGCCAAACGCCTGGCTTTGGCAACCCTCTCGATGGGTCTTCTGGCCGATCTATGTCACTCGGCTGCCTGCGTCTGGTCTTGTCGTGTAGCCCTAAACCCTAAACCCTAAACCCTAAACCCTAAACCTTAAACCCTAAACCCTAAACCCTAAACCCTAAACCCTAAACCCTAAACCCTAAACCCTAAACCTAAACCCTAGATTCCCTAGCTAAGGTGGTAGTTGCGAAGTCTCCGTCCCCTGTAGATTGAGGTCGCCTCCTTCCTGTGGACGCCCTTCCTGGCTCCTGCGACGCTGACGCAACTTGGTTTAGGGTTTAGGGTGTAGGGTGTAGGGTTTAGGGTTTAGGGTTTAGGTTTTAGGGTTTAGGGTGTAGGGTGTAGGGTGTAGGGTGTAAGGTTTAGGTTTTGGAGTTTCGGGCTACTTGGTGGTCCAGTGGAGAGGGGGAGAGGGGGAGAAGGGGAGAGGGGGAGGCCTTTTGCCGTTTGGGGGGGGGTCAAAGTTCCTTTACAAAGCGGCCAACCCAAAACGGGATAGCCTTATTGCAATACTGGTATGGTCAACCGGGCTACCACGAATCCCTATTGACCTGCAGAAGCTTTTTTTGCTGTTTGGGGTTTTAGGGCTTGGAGTTTGGGATTTAGGGGTTTGGAGTTTTGCAGGTTTGGGGTTTAAGGTTTGAATCTCAATCCCCATCCCAACCCCCTACGCCACTCAACCTCGAACTCTTGAAACCTGAAACCCTCCAACCCCAGCAACCCCAAACCCCTCTCAACTCTAACATCAGAGTAGCTTTCTCCACCTCAGTACAAACCCTAAACCCTAAGCCCTAAAACTGATAGGCGCTTTGCTCTAGGGTGGCCCTCAATGCAAGGTTATGGTTCTCTTTTCTGACCGGCCGCTACCTTGAAAGCCTCCTCGAGCTCGAGGACGTCGGAGACTAAAGTGAACCCTAAAAAAGGGTTGATGGTTTTAGGGTTTAGGGTTTAGGGTTTAGGGTTTGGGCTACGCCCTACATAGCCCGAACACCTCAATGGGGAACATGGTCTAGGGTTGGTGGTCTCGATTTTAGAGTTTACTTGGCTTCCAACAAAGAGAGAGAGGGAGAGAGAGCGGGAGAGAGAGAGAGAGGCTGTGGCGGATTGGGTGTTAAGGGTGCGACGCGTGCGGCGCACGTTTGCTCGGGGCCTGGGGTTGAAGTCGAGGTCTGATAGATTTGAGATTTAAGGCCTCAGGGTTTAGGGTTGAGGGTTTCGGGATTTCTCAAAGCCTAAAGTTGTAGCCGAAGTCGATGCATCCTATGATGTACCAACGGTACTCCCTACATTTTCCTCTGGCGAACTGATAGCCTGGTGAGTGAATGTGTGCTAATGAGTGAATGTGTGCTAAAGCTTCAAGCCTGAGACCTGAGGCCCTAAATGCCCTGAAGCCTCAACGGGCGTAAATGCCGCAAACCCGAAACCCCCTAAGACCTGAATCCCTAACCCTAATGTACTTCCAATTCTTGCTGGCTATAGTTTACCTTTGTTCACTTCCCAAACCCTAAGCCCTAAGCCCTAAACCCTAAACCCTAAACCCTAAACCCTAAACCCTAAACCCACTAGTTGGATCCTGTCCCCTTGAGCCTTCAGCCGAAAGAAATACACTGCAAACCATGTTGAAAAGAAGGTTAGGGTTTAGGGTTTAGGGTTTAGGGTTTAGGTTTTAGGGTTTAGGGTTTAGGGTTTAGGGTTTGGGGTTTGGGGTTTAGGGTTTAGGGTTGGAGGTTTTCAGAGTAACCCTAAACCTTAAACCCTAAACCCTCAACCCGAAACGCTATAGCTTTAAGGGTAGATGAACGGACCCGTATGATGGGAAAATGCCACTGGCTCGACCTCCACTCTCCAAACTCCTCTTAACCCTAAACCCTAAGCCCTAAGCCCTAAGCCCTGAACCCCGAAATCCCTAATCACTAATGTTGGACCTGCTTTATTAGGGGGGGTCGCTTTAAAGTCAATTTGGCGGAATTATTCAGGACCCCCTGACTGTTTGAGGGGTCCGCTTTAAAGTCAAACCGTCCGGGCGCCGTAAGAAAATTCCACGCGGCGCGCCTTTAAAAAAGATAACCGGGCATTGCTGCCCCTTTTAAACATATCTAAACTCCACCCTATTAAAATCATATAAGCCCCCGGGGCCGTGTAATCAGGACCCAATCCACGCCCCGACTGTTCAGGGGGGGGGGGGGGCCCCCACATTAAAGCAGGTCCCACATTAGGATGCCCAGTGGTGCACTTACTCCCTTTTTGGGGGTCTCGGTTCGCCTTTAATCGTCTTGAAGCAAAAAGGGCGCCCTTTTTCATGCCAGGTTATTGGGCAACCTAGAACACTCAAGAACTTTATTCATACCGTTAACATAGGACAGCCCTTGTACTACAGGAACCCCCCAACAGGGCACCTATTCCCCCAGAGAGCGTTCCCAACCCCCAGATCCCTACAGAATTCGGAGCCTAAAGCCTAAGCCCTAAACCCCTATACCCCTAAACCTTAAACCTCAAAAAACCCTAAACCCTTAACCCTAAACTCCAAACCCTTCCCTGAAGGATGTGCCCTGCTCGCCTTTCCCCTGGACATTCCTGGGGATCGCCCCAGAGTGGATGCTGGGCTCAGCCTCCTCAGATTGCAGGGTTTAGGTTTAGCGTTTAGGGTCTGCATTTGGGCCCAAATGGGACGGTTTTGAAAATGCTATTTTGGGTTCGGAATCCAGCGCGCTCGGAGTTCAGTGCTCGATCTGGAATCTGTCGGGCTATGGAGTAGACGCAAGCTTCCGCCAGTGTGGACGCGGTCGTGAGCGTGACATTTTGCAAATTAAACCCTAAACCGAAAGCATCAAAACTCCCTTCAAGAAGATTCGAGGACCCCCACGCGCCAGAGCATCCCGGCACTGATCCACTGTCTTCTCTGGCTCCTTGGGCTTTTGAAGTTCTTAAGGGAGAGATTTGAGGGTTTAGGGTTCAGGGTTTGCACTGTTCTAGGTTAGAAAGTGACTGTTCAGGGTTTAGTTCTGTCTTGCGGTTTCTAAATTTGTCTTAAGTGGTGGGGGATGAGATAGCGAACTGGCTAGGTAAGCCCTTGGGACATGTTACGTTTCCCTCTTCTATTCCCAGGGTTCAAGACTCTCAAGCCCTGAAACCCTCAAACCCTCAAACCCTAAAGTCCCTAAACCATGCAACCCTGAACAACCTCTAATTTAAGCCGAACACGAGAACAAGACCCCTAAACCAAACCTTTAACCAACGCCCAAACCCCCTAACCCCCTGAACCTGGGTTGTGCTTTGGGAGAATTTCATTTGTTGATTCCCCCTGATCCCTTGCAACGGGTTAAGGCGCACACCTCAGTCCCGTTCGCCCCTAGGATTTTAGTTTGAGCTTGGGGTTTAGGGTTACTAGGGTTGAGGGTTTAGGGTTTAGGGTTTAGGGGCTCGCCCCAAGGATCCTCCTCAGCTTCTACAGCTACGCCTCGGCGGGCTGCTCGGTTGCCCAGCGACGCTGGCTCCACGCAGCAGGACCGCGAGAGGGTTTAGGGTTTAGGGTTTAGGGTTTAGGCTTTAGGCGGTTTAGGGTTTAGGGTTTAGGGTTTAGGGTTTAGGGTTTAGGGTTTAGGGTTTGGGGACAGACTCCAATACTTATAAGGGTTTTGAGTTTAATGCTTAGGCTCCTTGTCATTTTGGGGGTCCTAACCCCCCCCCCCCCCCCCCGTTTGAGTTCAAGGTTTAGGGTTCAGGGCAGGGTGTTGGGTTTAGGGCCTAGGCTTCAGGGCAGGGTGTTGGGTTTAGGGTTTAGGATGTAGGGTGTAGGGTTTAGGGTCTAAGTTTTTGGACTGAAGCTTTCAAAGATTCCAGCTCGCTCCAGGAACCTGCTTCTTCATGTTGCTGGGGGCCCTCCAGCTGCCCGACCGCTTTTGTACCTTAGGGGCTATCAGGGTTTAGGGGTTTCGGGTTAGCAGGGTATAGGGTTAACAGTTGACAGGGTTTAAGGTTTAGGGTTAACAGGGTTTAGGGTTTAGGTTTAACAGGGTTTAGGGTTTAGGGTTTAGGGTTTCTGAACGGCTGTTTCGTGTTTGTAGTTGGCGGTTATTGGAGGTCAGCATGCAGAAGCAACCAAAAACAATAGGGATTCGGGGTTGAGGGTTTAGGGTATCCCTAAACCCTAAACCCTAAACCCTAAACCCTAAACCCTAAACCCTAAACCCTAAACCCCCAACCCTAAACCCTAAACCCTAAACCCCCAACCAGGATGGTCGTGCTGCTCGTTGGCTACGGTGCTTGGAAGAATGGGTTCTTCTGGGCCTCGACTCTGGGTGCTTCGGACTGAACTGGTTTAGGTTTTAGGGTTTAGGGTTTAGGGTTTAGGGTTTAGGGTTTACAAAAAAAAGAGCTCTAAAGGTAATTCCCGAAACCCGAAGTTAAGCCCCCAAGCCCTAAGCCCTGAGCACCACACCTCAGACCCTACACCCTAACGGGCCCATAAAAAAAGCGTTTTTCGAGTCTAGGGTTTGGGATTTAAGGGCATCCGTCAAAGCTAGGGAAAAACCCAAACGCCAGAAATGCAGACTTTGGGGCCCCTTCAAAGAGTCCTGAGTCCCAAGGGCACCATAGTCACCCTGAACACAGGGAGAGTTTTAGTGTCTAGTTCAGGGTTTAGGGCTTCGGGTTGCAAAAATCGACGTACATGTACGTTTGCTATACACTTTATCCTTAAGGCTGAAAAAACAGCCCGGTGCCGGCATGTTTAAATTGACTTTAGAAGCCAATGTAGGTATCATTTGTATACTTGGAGCCGCAGATTGCAGCACAGAAATAAGGTTCAGGGTTTAACCTCAGGGTTTAGGGTTTAGGGTGTTCGGGGTTTGGGGATTTAGGGGTTTAAGGGGGTTAAGGAAGTAGGAATTTAGGCTATCCAGGGTACACCCTGTGAATGCCCTCCCCCTGGTTCTTCGTAGGGATTGAGAGGAATTCGGGCCGTATAAGATACCGTTAAGGGATTCTATAGGGTACCTCATTCCTCAACACCCTATTAGAAACCCTAAGCCCTAAACCCTAAACCCTAAACCCTAAACCCGAAACCCTAAACCCGAAACCCATTCCCTACTAAGAGCCAGCCAGCCCTTTGTGCCGAGGCGTCTGCGCCCTGATGATGGCAGCCCAGGCTCCGCACCTTGGCGTTCTTCTGGCTGGCTCTTAGAACTACAGGGGTTTGGTTAGGGTTTAGGGTTTAGGGTTTAGGGTTTAGGGTTTAGGGTTTAGGGTTTAGGGTTTAGGGTTTAGGGTTTAGGGTTTAGGGTTTAGGGT